GCTGACGGCCTCGTACCAATGCGTTTTGCGTTTTTTCCACTCCATCAGTGTAAAGTGCTGCGCCTGCCATGAAACAGTAATGCCAGGTCATATGAAGTGCTGCACCTGTCACGCAAAATCATCTTAGCAAACCTGAAGATCTGATGCTCCAAAACGCAACCTCTCTCAGAAAATCAGCGCCCTGACCTCCTAACATCTCTGATGAACATGTCTTTTGTACTGCGCCTGCCATGCGAAATACATCTTTTTCCAGATCCTCTTCAGATTTCCCACGCCTGCCAATCGTTTTTGGATATGCTAGAAAACTCACCTTTTTTGCTCACTTTTGACAAGGTGCACAATCCCTCGCGCCGGCCACGCAAAACCACATCCTAACTTGCAAAAGTGGTCCGAGACTGTTATTTTTTTTACGCTTTTCACTTCCAAATGTGCTTCGCGCCACAAGGGTGTGCACTTTTTCGACATCTCAACTTCCAAAAGTGCTCCGAGCATGGTGTTTTTAGTTTTGTACATTTTGACTTGGAAACGTGCTTCGCGCCACAACGGGGTGCACTTTTCGACATGGCAACTTCCACAAGTGCTGTGTTTTGTACATTTTGACTTCGCAACGTGCTTCGCGCCACAACGGCGCGCACTTTTTCGACATTTTAACTTCCAAAAGTGCTCCGAGAATGGTGTGTTTTGTACAGTTTGACTTTGAAAAGTGCTTTGCGCCGCAACGGCATGCAATTCGTCATTTCTTATATGGCCAGATGGCTCCGCACCCGCCGCTTTAGCGAGCCTACTTTTCGACCCTCCAGAGGCACAAGTCATTGGAAAAACAGAGTGACTCGCGACTTTTCTACTTTTTCGCACACCTGCAAATTCTTTCTTCTGATTCTTTCTCTTCTCTGATCTTCTTTCTCCTTCTCTTCTCTTTGACTCTTGCCACCTCTGTTTTTTTGATCTGTCCATATTGTCGGAAATTTGACTTTAAACTTCCTTCGATAATTTCCTATCTTTGAAACTTCCGCCACCGCTTTGTGCGGTACTACTGGTACATATATATATATACATACATGTTGTCATGAAGCATTCACTCCATTTCTCATGACGTAGGCTGAACGTGCTGAGGGTGACAGCATGATCCCGACCAGTTCATGACTTGCAGCGCTTACACGGACCTGAGGAAATCCTAGGAATGAAACCCTGGTGGTGTCGATATTTTGCAACTGAAAGAAGATACAGGCAGGAGGCAAGGTCCAGAAACAGGATAGTGCGCTCAGTTGTGTCCGTGTTCACCTTTGCTGGGGGGGGAGGTTCACCAGCTCTGTCATTCCAGTGTAGGGTTGATTTAAAACTTATTTAGGCTGGCTTGGGGTTTATATATTAGGTGTGTTTAGGGTTCGTTTAGAATTTATTTATGGTTGGTTAGGGTTGGTTTAGGATTCATTTAGGGTTTCTTTGGGGGTGGTATCGTGTTTATTTGGCGTGTTTAGTGTTTATTGACGGTTTTGTTTAGGGTTGGCTTAGGCTACGGTTTCTTTAGGTTTTTTTATTTATCTAGGCCGGGTTGGTTTAGGGTTTATCTAGGGCTGGTTCAGGGGTGATGTAGGGTTTATTTTTGAGGTTTATTTAGGTTTGGTTTACTATTTTTTATTTAGGTTTTGCTTGCTTCAGTGTCGGCGGGGTTGTTGTGAGGCGATAGTGATTGTGGCTGATGCAAGGGCCGGGGGTGGTGCACCCCCTTGAGCTTGGACGTGTGACGCGCGGTGACGGAGGGGATGTGCTGAAGGAGGGGTGCCCCCTAGGCCCCCAAATGGAGAACTCTCCAGAAACAGGGGAAGAGCAAACAAAGAGCAGGGTATGTGTCAGCACCCTTCCTTTAGCACTGCTTTCCACCCTCCGCCTGGTCTGTATTTCCATCTGTATTTCTACATCAATATGCACGTCCATATCCACTTATATTCCCAGGCACAAACGCATACATGCATACAAGTGTCATGCACTTGTAGCGGGATCCATAGATATTTTGGCTGATTGTTCAAAACATTTTGTATTTTCCAGTCGCATTTCGAACGATGATCATGATGATCCCCAAGTGGGAATGGTTCAGAATTACGCACAGTTATAAACATATAAAATATAATGTATGTATATAATTATATATGTATATTTATTTATACTCTATACATCTCTCTATATACAATATACACTGTTTAGACCTAAATTCAAAATGTATGTCTCCCAAAAGGGATGGTTCAACGTCCTGAAAATTGACTACCCCCCTGTGGGTCGAAGCAAATCCCAGGTCCCCAGGTCGCCAGCCAACCACCGCGCCCTAGCGCTTGGCTCACAAGTGGCCGAGGGCGGTTTGGTTTGCTTTTCGGGGGTTGGAAGGGGTCAAACACCCATCATTAGGAAAATCTGATGGAAAACAAATGGAAACAACAACATATTTGAGGGTGAACATCAATTGGTTTCCTGTGATTTGTCCCTTGAATTTATTAAACCACCTTCCCAAGCCCAAGTTCCTTCCAGCATTATTTACAGGATAACTGTCTAAATGGCGATGGGAAACTATGGCTGTTTCCCCTCCAAAAAAATTTACATCTCTCTAAAGGTTTCCTCAGCAGAATGAGCTGCAGGTGGGCCAGAGGGTATATCAGCTCGATCCAAAGGTCGTTTAGATGAACAGAAGTGCTGGTGATTTGCCGTCCCCGAATTGGATGCAGGGAACATCTCCAGGAAACTCCTATATTTTCTGGGGAAAACGGTGGTTTCCTGTAGAGTTCCCTTAATCCAAGTGTTTGCTAAATCCATTATTCATCATTACTGGTTCAGCATAATCGCTATATAGGTGTTTTAAGGACATACTTCAAAGATTCCTGCTGATCCATTGCCCCTCCGATTCTAGTTTATAGTTTAAAGGTTCTTCCCCCGAAGAGTCCCTTGTAATCAGACTATGAAAAACCCATCCGAGTCTCTGGCTATGTGACCTCGCCTTGGTGACTAAAACGCGGCCAGCGATGCACGACTCTCTTTGACGCCATGCCTACGCCCATCATTTGCCCGGCAGGACCGTGGGGTTCAGGAGACGAGGGCCAGTGAGAAATTTTAATTCGGGGCTGACTTGGCTACTCGGATACCACTTAGTAGGTTCAAGGTCGTTACTAGTACTCATAGAGTGGGATAAAGTCGGATAAAGTCATGTGGCACTTACTAATTAGGGGTATCAACCAGTCAAAAGTATTTAAATGATCCTCCAAGCAATTACTCTGGCCAATGGTTGTAGCTGGGAGCATGTCGGGTAATACTTTGCAGCCGATGCAGCTCTAGCCGCTAGCTACTCCATTTCCCTCTGTGGACCATAGATTGCCTGGTCTGGGATTCCTTAGCCCCTGAAATTCCAATGGAACCTGAGACTCTTACTTTATTGGCTGAAGGTTGGGGTCGTGACAGTGAGTTACTTTCCCATGATTTGAAACTGCGCCGGTTGATGCGCGAAAGGTCACTTCTTGGAGGGGTGCCGTGGCGCCAAGTACCTCCTGTCATGCAGCTCCATACGCAACAAAAACTTTGATCTATGAGAAATTTAGCGTCCTTTTAGCAATGGTCAATTTGATGTGGTGAATCGTCCACTCTCGCTCTCTCTCTCTCTATTTTGTAGCTTGCAACTTCGCAATAAACTCGCAAATTACCCCTGATGCACTTGCTGGCGCATATAATTGTGACAAGATGTGGCAAGGCAACAGAAATAAATCCCAAGTGGTGTACAAAGAAGCCCCAAAGTGCGGACATTTGGTAGATGGTCTACCCTTGACATTTGGGTCATTTGGGTGTGCTGATGTGTGCCTTCCTTGGTCCTCTGTCAGGCAGTGCCATTCGAGCTTCCCTCACCTCCATGGAGAGAACAAGCTGCGTCGAATGTGACCCTGGGCCTCTTGGTGCGCCGCAGATTTTTCCCGCGATGGAGCGGTAGTTATTTCTGGAGTTTCCTGACATGTCATCATATGACGAAATAATACCAGAGTATTACTATAACCAACCTATGGGTTCATTATATATTATATATACAAGATCAATACATATCATATCAATCATATGTATACAATATGAATATATATATATATGTACATATCATATCATATGATTGGTTATGAATCTCAACAGATGCGTGCCTGGTGTTTTTTCTTGTTGCGTCCTCAGGACGGCAAACTGCCACCTGTCGGGGTGTTGATAATCCCATCCCTAGAAACCCTGGTTTGGTAGGTTATAACAATAGTTAGAAGTGGATGTAACCTACTTAGGATTTGTGGGATGAGCCACCAAGTATTGAATCTCTTCATTTTAGGGAGTGTATGTGATAGGAATTGGGGAGTCTATGTGATAGGAAGAAAGAACTTCATTACATTTAATTACTGGGCAAGGGAGAGAAATATACATATTATCTATTTGCAATTAGCTTCGACTCTGGGTTGATGCTACCTATGGGGCCTCTTATGCATTGCAGATGAGGTTGGCCTCGTTTCATGGTCGGTCTGGTCGGTTGGGGCCTTTCGGTTGAAAACGACACACATACATGCACATAATATATTTATATATATGACTCTATAGAGTCAACATGCATGCATCAACACATTCACACACAATCATAATTCAATCATATACATGTATGCTATATGCATATCTTATATTTATACATACATATATGCATACATACATGAATATATATATATATAACTTATATATATATATATATATATGCAGCACATATATATATATGTATACATACATATATGCATACATCCATGAATATATATGTATATTTATATAGAGTTATAGACATATATACGTATAGACACATAGATAAATACATAATACGTATACATATATATATATGCATATGTATATAATATACACATATATGCATATACATGCACATGTAAAAACACATGCGCATACCTTTGGTGATCACAGGATCTCTGTCGCATCGCAGGCGTCCCGCAGGCATTTTGATAGTTGGCTCGGAGGTCTTTCAGTGCACCCCAAAGGCTGCAGGATGTCCACTCAGCTGCATGGGAATACCGCGGGGTACCATGGGATACTTTAGACTTTAGACTGAACATGGCTTGTTTATGGGGAAAATATGATGGTAGACCATAAAAATTGGTGCGGCCGACTTTCCTATTCCCAAATTATCCTCGATCTTGGCTCGTGTGTTGGGTCATGATGGGTCAAACCCTCGAAAACAGAGGTGAGTGGGTTGCAGGTGCATTGACACTTGCCATATTTGGTGCCAAGAAACGCCAGGACTTGCTGCAGGTCTGAGCAGCCTTGAAGCCCTTCAGAGAGCACCACATAACCACATCAACTTCCATGCTGGCAAGCGGTAGGACAACTCGTGCCAGTACGCACTTTCAAGTTTTATCATTGCCCTTTTTCAACACATTCAATAGTGCTGATATCACGTTATAGATGTCTGATGGTGTTTGATTACTGTATCTACCGAAACTGCCATCAATTCCCGAAAGCCTCAGGGCACATCATCCCCTTCCAAGTGTATTCCCCTTAGCTCATTGGCTTAGTTTTGACTTTTTGAAAGGACAATCTACCAAAGCGGATTTCAATAGCAAAATCTGATATATAAACCATGAGGATTGCCCATCTTAATAATACTTGTCCCCAAACAAATGCTTAAAGTCATTTGGTGGTTTCCTAGAATAGGGGCACCCCCAAATCATCCAAGTCATTAGGGAATTCTAGTAAACCCATGCTTAAAATGAGCCCCATTTTAGGAACCCCCCATTGATCATGATTTGTCACTATGGGATTTGATGTTTTTTGGAGCTTCATCAAGGCCCACCTCCAGCGGGAAGTTTGCCAGTGAGAACTTGGTGCTGTCCGCCAGCGCCACGGCCTTGCTCTTCAAATTGTCGCGAAAGATGACGGAAGGGGAGTTTCTTGTGCCCTGATGGCAGGAACTTCCCCAAAATTTTCTCCGGTTTTTGGACGTTTTACACTTGGATGGTATGGTGAATGGGTTATGAATGGGTTGGATTGGCTTTCTGTGAAAGTGAGGTTTCGGAAGCTTTCTGATGTTCTCTATTCAGGTGAGTTTTGAGCCACCTCGAGGAATCTAACCCCTTCCAAAATCAATTCCTTTTCGAATTTTATACGATCCAAAAATTTGACATGGAAGTTGGAACCAATCAAAAGAAACACAAAACCAGCAGGAAAATCATCTTCCCACACCTCATTTTTGGAGTTCCATGTTACATTCAGGGGGTGCAAACCACTGACCACATATGATCCCGGTCGGCCAAGGAGATTTTGCACAGCCCCTTGGCCCCATCCAAAAAAAGCCCTTCGTTGCGTTTCGCGCAACGTGGTGAAGCCTGGTGAAGGGGCCCAGAAGTGGTTGGAAGTTTCGAAGACGTTGGTGTATGATTGTGTATGTTTGCACTTGCACCCTTTTTCTTCCGAAAAGGGGGATGATCACCCAATGTGACAACTCGATACTTTCTTATTTCGGGATTGGGTGGCCTAAGCGAGTATTTTTGAGGGTGCCCAGAAACCTTGCAGAAGACCCGACAAGGGTTGGATTCTGGGATAATCACGAAAGGTAGCCTCCTAGTGGGCTACCTTGAGTTTTACTTTGCGAAGCAAAGGGGCGGGCTGGACCCCTTATCCCTGAACGACCACAAAAAAGGGACCCCCCCCCTCCCCCCCCCGGAAGGGAACTCTCGCCATATGCCTGGTGAGTCTCTTCACGCAGCAGCCCCTTCGCAGTGTCTCGTCATCATCACCATCATCATCATCAACATCATCATCATCATCATCATCATCATCCTCCTCATCACCATCATCATTCGACTTGAAATTCGGATTTTTCGACATCCATTTTCCAAGTACCCAACGGTGCGATGAAAGTGACAGGTTCAAGCATCCATAGGTACTGCAAAAAGAGACATTGGAGTTTGTTCGACGATGCGTATGTCTGACAATGTATACCTCCAAATGGCTATTTAAATGGACTAAGTGACTAGGTGATGAGCAGCCATGGACATCGTGGGGTGCTCTCTTTTCGGACCCAGATATCTCCGCTCTGCTCTGAATGTCCAGTTCCATCCCCCCCCAAGTGAACTCTCGTGACTTGTGCGTCTCTTCACGCAGCAGCCCCTTCGCAGTGTCTCATCATCAGCATCATCGTCATCATCCTCATCATCATCATCATCATTCGACTTGAACTTCGGATTTTTCGACATCCACTTTCCAAGTACCCAACGGTGCGATGAAAGTGACAGGTTCGAGCATCCATAGGTACCGCAAAAAGAGACATTGGAGTTTGTGCTAACACTGATCGTTTATTTTTTTCCCCGCGCGATGCGTGTGTCTGACAATGTATACCTCCAAATGGCTATTTAAATGGACTAAGTGATGAGCAACCATGGACATCGTGGGGTGCTCTCTTTTCGGATCCAGATATCTCCGCTCTGCTCTGAATGTCCAGTTCCATGCCCCCCCCAAATGAACTCTCGTCACATGCCTTGTGCGTCTCTTCACGCAGCAGCCCCTTCGCAGTGTCTCATCATCAGCATCATCGTCATCATCATCCTCATCATCATCATCATCATCATCATCATTCGACTTGCGATTCGAATTTTTTCGACATCCATTTGCCACGTCACTTTAACTTTTGCAAGCAAACGGGTGAAGCAAAGGAACGTCGGCGCTTCTCCATGCTTCGGTTGGACAGAAATTTTCCCTTCGTTCTGTCAAAGCGGTGATTTGCTAGCGCATGACGTCCATATTGACAAGCCTAAGGCTTGGTGTCAGCAGAAAAGGGCCCGGTCGCATGTCGGCTTTCGCACTGAGTGATCCCCCGCGTCCCCTGTGACACAACTACCTTTCGTGTCACCCCTTCTCAAGTTTTTCTACAAAGCTCTCATGTGCTGCGGGTAAGCAGATCAGTGCATGGTTGGTTTTCATGGGTTCATGTCCAGCCATAAATGGCAGACTATTGTATTTCAATGTATTTCACATCCCGCTAAACTGTCACACTTTTCTTGGGCGTTCTAAGTTCTAAGATTGCCAATTTCATGGAACCTCAGCAGCCAGAGGTTTTTGCGGCCCAATCTGGCAGATGCAGCTTGGTGTGAGGAGTGCCGGGAAACTTGTTTCCACCAGAATGTGGCTTGCTGGCCTTTGATAGTTCCATTTTTTAAGAAAGATCTGACACAGCACAAGCATCACTTGCCCTGCCGGAGCTTCACTTGAAGCACTTGAAGGGCACTTGGGAAGTATCTATGTGCAAGCGTGATCTAGGAGTAAATCCATCACTGATGTTGTGCTTTCAAAGTTTTAGTTTTGGATACAGTATTCTGAATTTTTATTGGGGCTACCCTTTGGATTTCATTCTTTCGGGGAACTGCTACATAGATCTATACATGGAAGCTTTTTCTGGATGGATTTAGAAGAAAAATGGCTGGCGATCATTGGCAGTCCAGCGTGCAGGAAACCTTACGATTTCATTCATCTACCTTGGTCCAAGTTGGCCGTTGTAAACTTCACTAGTCCCAAGGCAAGGTTGCTGGCGGTGGGGAGGACTAGCTCGGACATCCCAGCTTTCTTTAGCAAACACGCGGCTGTTGGGAAGGAATCCAATGGACCCGCCATGTTTTGGAACATTTCAATACACATTTCATCTATTGCGTTTGTGCCTGGGTTTTGCAGATCAAACAAAGATCATCAATTTTTCACCAATGGATCTGATTCTTCGGCTCTTCCATGCTCTTCCTATATCTTCGGAGTCTTGCGGTCTGCGAGGCCTGCGGACTGTGTTTTGAAGTCTTGAAGCTGGTGGCTGGCGACTGGGCAACATACATCTCATGACTTGGGCACGGATTAACAAACCCTTTTCTGGGGGATGGTTTATGATTGGGTTTCCACTTCAAATGGGTCTGGATCAAAATTTAAGGGCAAGGAATTTCGTTTGAATGATGATTTGTTTTTTTTAATCATCCACTTCGAAGGCCGCTTACCTATTTTTACCCATACTTTATTTGGATTACCCTGGATATATTTGGACATATATATATATATATATTACTGATTAACTGTTTTGACGGGACGGGACTACCTTGTCACCAAAATTGATAGTCCCAGACTCGAAAATCAGATCCAACTTGAACATTTTTTTAAAACAGCACCTATCGGAATCCTGTTGTGCAGGCTCAGGATCTCCATGGCAAGGAACAAATGGCAGGGCTGCAGCGATACCCAAACGGTTTTTATGCCCCTTCTCCCACAGATTCGGCGGGAAGTCCATCTAGTCAATGGATGTCTTTTGATGAAGGCCTCTCCGTGGAGAAACCCTTTTGTTAGTAAGACAATTGCAGTATGGTTCAGTAAAACGTCCCAGTTGATGCCCACACGGCCCACACCAGTAGCATGTAGTAACTGTAGTAGCACTGGGCCCCCAAGCTCCCAAGGTCGACCTGGAGTGTGTGTTACAGATGCACCTTGGTTTGGGGACTCTCCATGGTTTCAGATGTTTCAGGGTCATTGCAGCAATTGCATTAAACCTTACATAAGGTTGTCCTGTAAGAAATTGCTGTGAGAGTGAAGCATGCCCATATATGCCCATGGATTGTTTGGTGTTTTCTTGGGTGTTCCGACCCCGCCGAGATGGAGATTTTACATGATTTTACAGGATTTAGCCGCCCGTATAAAAACACTTTCCCAGAACTGCTGTTGGACCAACAAAGTCAGTTCCACTGTGTAACCGGCTGCCATACTCTAGGCAACTCGATTTGCTTGCGCTGTGGGTCACCTTTGGTCCTGGGGCGCGTTCCTTTGAGGTGTGCGAAGCCGTACAGCAGGGACTGGCACCGAATTTGGCCCATTTCTGCGCGAAATGTGCTTTGGCATTTTGATGCATTTTGCATGGGGTGTGCTAGAGATCAATTGATGAATAGATATGATAGTTTAGATGGACAAACAGAGAGAGACTGAGAGATGTATATAGATATAGATTATAGATATGTAGATGTAAAGATTGTTTTCTGTTGGTGGCCGTATGGGTATATAAAATAAATCGTCAACGACAAAGACGCCATCCATCATCCGTGCGACCGGTGGTCTATTTGGGGCGCTGCCAGGGGACACCTGGAGCGGGTTTAACATCCTATAAACCTCTTGGGGGATTCATTTATCATTCATCAATGGAACATCACTATATTTGCCGAATGCAAATTCAATGATCAACAGAGAGTCCGGCACTGCCCCCACACGTCTTCTTTGTTGAATCTTCGGTGTGTTTAAGGATGTTTAAGGTAGTTATGGATGCAGCATCCACCGCTGATCTTCTGGTGGCCTTTTTTCCGAGCAACTGAGGCCAGCAGAGTTCGAAAGTGAGCTTGCCCTTGGTGTTCATTGCAACTTGGTGCTGACAATTGAACACCTCTTGCACAGGAGCCACATTGTTGCCACAACTCTCATAGCATGTTCTAACATCAAGTTCAATCCAAGTGATACATTCGGCTGGTTTTAGTAGCGCAGTCAATCCACCCTTGATCCAGTCGCCAGTCGCAAAAGGCGGAATGCAAGAGGTGACCATGTCAGCATCCCTTTCGATGCCAAAAAAGTAGGCCCTATCTTCACCTGCAACAACAATTTCGCTCAAGATCTGGTGTGATGTAGTAGCTTCTGATCCAGTTTTTCCCCACCTGCCAGGTGAGGGTTGTTAGATTTTATCAGAGTTGTTCTCCTCCTCCTCCTCCTCCTCCTCGGCTAGCTGTCCTCCTCCTCCTCCTCCTCGTCCTCCTCCTCCTCTAGTTTCTCCTCGACCATGTCTGCATCAACTTCCACCTCCACTTCCGCCTTGCCAACTCTTCGCCAAGCTCTTTGCCAACTCTCTTCGCCAAGCTCTTTGCCAACTTCCCAGCTCAGTCTGCACTGGGACCTCAACCTGGGACCTGCCCAGCTCAGTGCGCACTGCTGGACCTCCACCTGCGAGCTGCCCAGCTCAGTGTGCACCGCTGGACCTCAACCTGCGAGCTGCCCAGCTCAGTGTGCACCGCTGGACCTCAACCGGGGACCTGCCCAGCCCAGTGTGCACCGCTAGACCTCAACCGGGGACCTTCCCAGCTCAGTGTGCACCGCTGGACCTCAACCTGGGACCTGCCCAGCTCAGTGTGCACCGCTGGACCTCAACCTGGGACCTGCCCAGCTCAGTGTGCACCGCTGGACCTCAACGGCCAGATAGAATGCCAGAAGATATGCCAGATGGAATGTCAGATAGAATGCCAGAAGATATGTCAGATAAAATGCCATGAGATATGCCAGATAGAATGCCAGAAGGTATGCCAGAAGATATGCTAGATAGAATGCCAGAAGATCTGCCAGATAGAATGCCAGAAGATATGCCAGATAGAATGTCAGATAGAATGCCAGAAGATATGCCAGATAGAATGCCAGAAGATTTGCCAGATAATATGCCACAAGATATGCCAGATAGAATGCCGGAAAGTATGCCAGATAGAATGCCAGAAGATATGCCAGATAGAATGGCAGAAGATTTGCGAGATAGAATGCCAGAAGATATGCCAGAAGATATGCCAGATAGAATGCCAGAAGATATGTCAGAATATATGCCAGAAGATATGCCAGATAGAATGCCAGAAGATTTGCCAGATAGAATGCGAGAAGATATGCCAGAAGATATGCTAGCACATATGCCAGAAGATATGCCAGATAGAATGCCAGAAGATATGTCAGAATACATGCCAGAAGATATGCCAGATAGAATGCCAGAAGATTTGCCAGATAGAATGCCAGAAGATATGCCAGAACATATGCCAGAAGATATGCCAGATAGAATGCCAGAAGATATGTCAGATTATATGCCAGAAGATATGCCAGATAGAATGCCAGAAGATATGTCAGATTATATGCCAGAAGATATGCCAGATAGAAAATGTATAAATGTCATTGTGGGGATCACACGAAGTAAAGTAATTTTTCGTTTTTTTTCTTTGGTTAGCTTCAGTAATATGGTGCTTCTGTAATGTGGAATACATCAGGACAAAACACTACGTGCCCAGCAGTGATCAAAGAATTATGTCGTGCGGCTCGTGCGGCACAGTGCCTCCAACCAAAAGGCAACCGAAAAAGATTCGGGTGATTCGGATTGATTATAGCAGCTATAGAGTCTTGAGCCGCTGGTGTTGGGCGGGCTCAGGACGGTCATTCCATTCCGCCGCTCTTAGCCTGTCAACTGCTTGTGACTTGGCCATGATCCTATACATGTTGGAACTATGGCCACCTCCTCACCAGAAATGGTGGTCGTTAATGCTTGGGAAATCAACCATCTTCAAGTCATGGAGGTTTCCATAGTCATGCGGGTACCCACAGCTATCATCCATGTATAGATGGACTTTCCATGAATAATAAACCATCCATTTTGATCCAGCTATTGGGGATCCCCCATTGATGGAAACCCCCATGATGTGATGACTTGGATCAACCATCTTCAACCTCCCAGGTCAGTGACTCGTTGCTCCAACAGAGCATTGCTGAGACATCCGCGCCCAAGCAGAGACGTCTTGAACACAAGGAGCTGCAGGGGAATTGGTCCCAGATAAGTGTAAATCCCCCTACTAAACCATGGGCGGACATTGGGGAGGGGGCGAGATTAATGTCATCTCATAATCTGATAGTGATATCATATCCTCAACATTCCTAAACTTCCTAAACATCGGATGAGTAAGCCATCGGATAGTTGTCAGCACTTTGAGGTGGCAAGACGTTCAGCTTTGAGATAATTTCAGCGCGTTCAGGGCACTGGTGACTATATTAGTTACTATAGTTACTATATGTTACTACCGTTCATCAAATGTCCTCCATCGATCTACTGTATTTTTTTTCGAGCCAATCATGTTGGATACCGCTGGAGTTTTCATTCACCCACCCTTGTGCGCAAATGACATGTCAGTTGGCTGAAAGGTGACAGCTCCTCAAAGGATCCCCAAAGTCTCTGGAGAGCTGTCACTACTATAATTAGTAATACATATATATATATACACATATATATATATGTATTATTTTTAGAGTAACATATTGATACCAATTTCCCCATGTGTATCCATTGTGTATTTATCCACATTTACCAACCTTTGCTCCTCCCAAATCTCCCAGCCATGGAAAAGAGAGAAACAAGAGAAACAAGATGCACCTTCAGGGGCAACAAGTTTTAAGTAGTACTAATCGGTACTAATGTGGTAAACCCAATGCCATAAACCATCCCCAAGTCATCATTTTTATGGGTGGGATTCCAGACCATCCCTGGTCATGGGATTTGATTGGGGATAGCGGCGCTGAGGATTTTAGCGCTTTTTGGACTTTTCAGAGATGTTGATGATGCTGATATTATTTGATGTTTATGTTCAGGGTACCATTTGCATGGGGTGGGGCGGGGTGGGGCTAATACCGTGCAATCGTCTGCGTTCTTTGATTCTCCGTCTTGCGCTTCTCATGGTAATTTCGAATAATACGCTCTTGTCTTGCTTCTTCGCTATGAACAGAAGAACATTTTAACACGCTCCTGATGTTATGCTCTTGCACTTCTTATAGTAATTTCCAAGAAGGTCTGGCTTTTACGCTATGATCCGAAGAACCTTTTAATACACTCGTGATGTTACGTTGTTGCACTTCCTAGAGTATTTTCCAACACGCGCTTGCTTCTACGCTATGAACAGAAGAACATTTCAACACGCTCGTGATGTTACGTTGTTGCACTTCCTATAGTGATTTCCAACACATTCTTGGTTCTTGACAGAATGGCTATTGCCTATTGAGTGCGAAGCTGAAAACACCAGCGCTGCTATCCCCCGGAGTGACCTTGTTTATAAATGGCATTGGGTTCCCCATGGTTTCCACACTATTCGAATCTACTTGAGATCTTTTAGCCTTGCCAATGGGGATTGAAACTACCAAGCACTGTGCCAATCTCCTTGTAGGACGTGTTGTTGGGGAGATCGAGACAGCTTCAAGGAAAGACAGACGCAGGTGGCTTCACTGCACTGGGTTATTCTTGCGGAGCCCTTTCTTTTTGATTCTTTTTGTGGGGTTGCTAAGCCCCCATTGTTGGGGGCGCAATCGGTTTACCATAGATTCAATTCCCACAATACATAAGCCACCAAGATGGCGGGAAAGACCTGTTCTGTTCCCATGGTCGAAGGATGTCGAAGGCACCACCCGGTTGCGGTGCTACAAACCTGGTTCACCAAGGTCTGTTCGGTATGGGCTCAACTGTTCTCATTGAACTATGAGAGCACAGGGTGTGAGGTCCCGATTCTTCATTGACGCTCACCGGCTGCAGTCTTTGGAAGCTGAGCCCTGCGAGAATCTTTGGGGCACCACAAAATGAGGTTGTGAACTGATGATTGCCTGTCATATCTCAAAATCTAAGTGTCAGCTGATGATTCGGGCATAGCTTGGCTGCACTGCAGTAGAGTTGATTCGGAGCGTCCGTAGTTCCATTTTTGGCAGTTCCCAAACCTGGGACGATGTTTGATGAAGCCAACCTGAAGAGACGAGCCACCTCCGCGAGCCGCAGATACGGCGACATAGCAAAAAACATCTAAAAACATTTAAAAACTAGATATAGCATGATATAGCGAGAATTCAGATTGTTTCCAACTACAGACGATTTTCCAGATATGAACCTAAAATGTTGCTTACAGCTTGCGTCGATGTTGTGCTGTTTCGTGCGAACTATGTGGTTGATGCATTTCTCTTCGCACCAGCTGCTGATTGCCCAGCGCAACCATTTTTTGTGCGGCTGGCAACAGCGAGAACATCGAGAACCGCCGCGGGGGGTCAGGTTGTGGATCAGGCACGGCCCGAGCTGTGGGTTTGATCAACCGGATGTTGGCATTGGGTCTAGTCACCGATTGCTTGCAATACTGGGTGTTTACCTGCAAAAATTCACATAGGTCAATGGATGAAACATGGAAAACATAGTTTTCAATAATTTTCATAGGATTGACAAACGGTTCTCCATTCCATCAGTGAAATGAAATGAATTGAAACGAATATTTTTTGAACACGTGTCTCCTGATGACACTCTCTGGCTGTCAAATGAAAATTCTTACTTTTAAGGGGAAACTAGTCTACAGTTTTGGTTCGAAGTGTTGGACTGCGCTTTCCCAAGTTGGAGTTCGGAGGTACTTCCTCATGAAACTTCCGAACCTATTCTTCAGCAAATTCACCATGGCCATGAAGTTTGTTGGGGGGGTTCCGTGCAGTTCGGGCTTCCACACAGACATTCATTTCTCATTCGGTCCGATGGACGCACTTTATGGACACCACTGTGCTGTGCCAACATCCGTGTAATTCGCTCGCACCATGCATTCCAAACTCACTTGGCTTTCTGTAGTATGCAGATAGGAAGTGATATTCCTCTACAATTTCCGGCGCGTGCTTTTTTAATCTTGTGGTATCTTGTGGTACAACACGCTACCGGGGACACCCCTGGTTCCAGCGCCCAGTCGGTGCTCTAAAATCGGCTTCACTTTGCATCCCCAAACGATGATAGACGGTCTATCAAATTGAGCAAAATAAAGGCGTTGAGTACATGTGATCTCGATGAACCAGCTCGGATTTCTGAAATTGATCTGGTCTTTTTTCATCATCCTCCAGTTTCTTCGCAATTGGAGTCAGTTGTCCAATGCAAGATGATTCTTATACTTGTTCAAACCTCTTGCGTCCTGTGCTGTCTTGTCTGCCTTTCTTGCGACATCCATCCGCGTTTGATTCTATTTTCGGGAGTTTACCAACCAGTCAATAATTCCATCTGTCCACAGAGTTCAGAATCAGCAGGTAAGAGAGACACAGCAACACTTCACCCACCCTCCTAGAAGCCACCAAAAATCAATGGTTGCTTCCGAATTACACAAAGATGTATTTTTGATTGCTCCAGGGCTTGAAGTTTACTGTAGCTGTTTTCTAATTCAAAATTCCAAGTTTCTTGCATTTTCATGTGTATTATTTTTTGGTACACACTCAAGTGGCCGCCATCCACGTCAAGATAATAAGGTATTTTGATACACATTCAAATGGGTGGCACCACGAGTGGCCGCCATCCACGTTAAGATAATCATGTGTATTATTTTTGTCCTCCCAGCTGTTGTCACAATGGCCCCGCAATTTCCAAATCTGCCTGTACAGTGTATAGATACCGCATCACCACCCTTTTATAAATGAAATTTCAGAGGGGGGGCATGCCTTGAAATTTCATTTATTGTGTTTCATTTTTTCCCATTGATAAGAGATTTCAATCAGATTTAGCGGGCCGCCCAAAGCCATTTTGGATCATGAGCCGGCCGCGTCAGTGCTGTAGCTGAAGCCTCCCCCTGCCCTGTTGCAGCTCCACCTCGCACCGCCACGGCCTTCCTGAGGCGAGATCATCCCCTGCACATGCGCAGGATTGGATGCCATTGGATGAAGTGGATGAAAAGGTGGATGGAAAAATGAATAAAACTCCTTATCACCATCTTGCTGATACACAAAATGAAATGCATCACCCAAGAGCAGTGGCAACATAGGGGGTATTTAAGTTGCATGACACATCTGCGAAATGTCTGGATTTGATATGATATTTATTTTATTTATAAATGCTTTATCTGGATTGTTAAGGGGATTTGATATGGGATTCTAGGGATTTAGTGAGTCATTAAATCTCTATTGTCAAACCCAGCCCATTTCCATATGGAGGTTTCCTAAAATACAGTACCCCCAAATCATCCCATTTATAGATGGATTTCCCATGACATAAACCATCCAGCTATGGGGGTACCCATGACTTAGGAAACCTCCCATATATGTTTTGGTTTTGATCCATCCAGAAGGGGTTAACCAATGACGGATTTTGCATCACCTTTGGCATTCACCGGCGTCCACTTGAGCTCACTTTTTCATGGCTAGTTGGCCCCTTGGTAGCCTCTGGGATTGAATGACTCATCTATGGCTCTGCCAGCTGTCGTGGTGCTTCAGTTCATCCATGTCCGTTGTTTCATCAAAAAACACACAAATTCCCTGGGTCTTGCCGAAAGCTCCACTCCAAAATTATCCAAACATCTCCATCAGTTGGAAGCCTTTTGGCAAATTTCGTTGGAACAACTGGGGCTGTCTGAAAATTGAAGGGAACGTCCCCAACTTTGATGGGTTGAGCATCAGTTTCCGGTTGAGTGGCCAAACATTGGGGCATTTTCCCCAAGTCATTTCATCCCTGGCGCGTCAGGCAGTAGTGCCGAAGCCGTTGAATTAGCCCCTGTGGAAGAGAATTGACATCTCCGATGTGGGCCCTCCAGAGGAGGCTGATGGTTGGGATATGTTGGGATTTTCTCATGTCATGGGGTTATAAAAACATACTGAAGGAATCGGAAATATATTGAAAGACAAAGTATGCATAGACCGTCTCAAAGCTGTTGTTCCTTTTTGTGTCGTATCATGTACACATCAATTCAGCTTTTGCCAGCGGAATGCCGCAGCTCACACTCCGCCAAGTCGCAGGCATCCTCGAGTTCAAAGAGACTGGAGTACAAATATGTCATTCGGCGCCCTCCTGGTGTCAAGCCTCCCACCCGCACTGGTTGGACTGTGTCAGGGACAAGCGCAGAAATTTGGGCGAATCTTTGGGCATCCAGTTTGGAGCCCCTTTTTGAAGTTTCTCAGGGCCATTTGGGGCAGGTGAAATCCAAAACACGCATGGTTTGTGCTGCTTTCCAGGTTTCAAGCTGTGTGCATTTCCGCGGTAGATTCTTATCACGGCCAAGCCGCAGGAGGAGGGGCCTGAGATTCTGGAGCATAGTCAGGCCGCAGCAGCACCAGAAGGGCAGCCCCGCGGCTGGTGCATTGCAGTGGTTGGAAACCTCTGTGAGTTTTGTGAAAATCTGGGGAAACCACGGGAAAACCAGAACATCCCATGGTTATTCCACGGTTTGGAAAGCAACTTCCTCACTAAAATGGCGAATGGAGAGTAAATCCACGAGTGTTTTTTTACAAAGAAACACCATGCAGAAACCATAATTCAGTAGTCTTTGTATAGGGGATTGGAAATGTATTAGGAACAGTGACTACTAGACTGAATCTCGAGATAACTTCAAGTTCAATTTTTATATTCTTTGATATTCTTTTATAATTTTGATTTCGGTTCCGGATTCGGGCGCCACATTCGGGCCCCGGATTCGAGCCCCGGATTCGGGCCCCGGATCCGGGTTTCGGATTCGGGCCCCGCATTCGGGTCCCGGATTCGGGTTCCCATCCCGGGTTCGGGTCCCGGATTCAAGCCCCGGTGTGTGAGGAAGGTGGTTCATTTAATGAATTCAGTAGGGAAGTTTGGTAGGCAGATGTAGGCAGGTAGGTAGGACCTAGGGGCGCAAGGAATGGCAGGAGATGGTATCAATGCATCAATTGGTATTGCAATGTATTGCAAACATGTAGCCGTGGGAAAATGAGGATGTCTTTCATTACAAACGTTTGATCCTTTCCTTTCTCTTCGATGGGGGTCCGCAGCATGATATTATATTTGCGGCAAAGTCGAGTAGGTGATTCTATCATCGGTTCTTAACCTATTTTCCTCCGCCACAGTCAAATTGAATATGCCGTGGCCATGGGGATTTAGTAAATTTAGTAAATGCAATGCTTACGTTCACTACGTAATTGAACACATAGGAACAGATGCAAACAAACAATATTTCCCGAGTCTTTGTTAAATATGTTAACGCGGGATTTATTGTGTGGCCACAGGGATTTAGTAGGTGCAACGCTCAGAAGCGTTATTTTGTCAGCAGTTGAAAGCATAGGAACGCATGGAAGGAAACACTGTTTTCCAGGCGCACAGCATCACCGGAACCTTACTTTACGGCGCACCAGAGGCAGAAGAGTGTGCTGTACCACTGTACCAGACATTGGCCAATCATTTTGAAGTCGAATCTATCCTAATCAATAGCTTCGTTTTCACGCTTGCAGGTAAATAGATAGATAGATAGACAACTACAACTACAACTACAACTGCCACTACACTACAACTACAACTACCACTACAACTACATCACACTACACTACGCTAACTGCAGTACACCACATTACAGCTACAACATAGTGACCCCCTCGGCCACTGAAATTTTAGGGGAGGGTATGTGAAAGAATTTCTGAAATATATTTCGCTTGCACGTCTGGAGCAGTTTGGCTCACAAATGCATGTATGGCATCGCAGGTATGATGAAATCCGTGCTGTGAAACAGATTTGGGCATATCGGCATATCATTCCCATATTGGGGCACCAACAAAAGTCATTTTCAACAGAGCAAATGATTGAAAATCATCATATAATATAAAACATATAATATA